TTTTTTTTTTCAATGGCCCGATGGACCACATATCAGATATTAAACTGATGAGAAATACACTTGATCTTCACCAAGTCCACTGCATTTTCCATGAGGTGACCACAGGTCTAACGAAAAGGCGTTGCCTTTTCATGGACGTCATCACAGGTCTTACAAAAAGGTGTCACCTTTTGGTCCACATGGTGGATATTGCAGAGAACCTTGTAGGTGATTCAGAAATGTCGGAGGCATGATGTCAAAGATTAATCCGACGGTAGATGGTCATCATCTCCGATCTGGAAGCTATATGAAGCTCATCAGAACAGACGTTGCACTTTTGTTCAGGCCTAGGACCATCCTTTGCTCCGCCGAAGGTCTGTGAGAATGATTGTATTTTATGTGTGGTGGTGGAACCCTGACACGAATGATGATCTCAGTACTAGCGAAAGCGATCATTGTTTTGGGGTCTGATTGACGAGGGTGTGAATATGTCATCATGGTGATGGTGGAAACATGATGCACCCAATCTTGAAGTTCCCAATATCAAGAGTTGGACAGGCCTGCTTGTTGTGTGCTAGACTGTAACGGCAGTGTAGCCTGCAATGTTTGTTTTGGTGGAAGAAATTGTTGTTGACACTTACGATGTCTGTGAATTGAAAATGATAGTTTTTGATAGTTTTGAAGTCCGAGTCTTCCTAATGATCATTGAAGTTTGTTTCATTTCAAAGCAACTGTGGTGGCGGAAGCATGACATGCACAATCGCAGCCTTCTCAGGAGTTGTAACGGTCTGCTGGAGTTCAGCTTGCACTGCCTTGCAGTTCTTGTTTCATGGCAACAAAATGGTTTTGATGACCTTCAGTGCTAGGTCCGTCAAATTGAACGCGATTGTTTTCGAGTCGGACGCTTCCGAATGGTGAAACCTGTTTGCTTCATTTCAACGCAAGTAGTTCCCACAGATTGTACTTCATTGTGGCAGACTCTGGCTTAACCGCAAAGCTGAGGTCTTTAATGGCAAAGTGCCATGTGGAGCGTGGTGCTCCTCAGCCTCCTCGAGCTGCCAACAAGGGAAGGGGCAAGTTCGGGAGAGAATGGTGGTGGGACCTTCTCAAGCGCTGGACTTGTTTTGTCTGCCTTCTTCTGTGGATGTGTTGTCCTTCTCGCCCATGTTTAGCGCTTTCAAGGCTGCGTGTCACAGCGCATGGTTTTGCTTGCCAGTGGCAGGTTGCAGTCTTGGTGGGTGCAATGTGTGGGATGAGTCCTCACGGCCTGGT